CTTTTTTTGTAGACAAGAATGTTTTGATATCCTGGTTGGTCTCGTCCCGTCGTTTGGCCTGTGAGTTGGGGCGGTGCTTGCATGTGGGACGTGCCATCTGGGATTTGTTTTGTTGCCCCCTGTTCTGTATTATTTGGTTGTTCCCTTCCTCTTTTCTTTGCCTCTTTGCCTTCTGGCTGCATGCAAGTGGGTCGATATGACACACGGGGGTGGGGGCAGCCGCCGCTCAACCTACATCCACGTGGGCGGCCTTGTACACAAGAGGTTCTGAACAGGGGGAGTTGTAAGTAAGAAGAGATAAAAAAACGAATTCATTCTTTTCCTTTTTTTCGCTTTTGCGCTCTCATATTTATGTGACGATATATATATATATATATATATATTCTCTGTTGGAGGATATATCGTCAAACAGAGCTGCCCGGTAATATTTGTATGGATATATATGATTGTTTTCGTTGTGCAATAGCAGAAAGCAAACTTGGATCAATTGATTTCAACAACTCTAGTTCATATTTCTAGAATTGGAGAAATCTGAATCTGGTCTGAATCTGGCCAAAATAACCGTTGACAGCTGCATAAATAACAACAACTTGGTTTTCAATCGAGAGTACAAGGTACCAGTTGTTGGGCAGTCTTTGATGCTCAACCTCAACTGGGTTTAAGGTGGGTTATCCCTCATAGGGTCTCACTCCACTACTCTCCACTCTTGAAAAAATTGGCGAGTTGTTCCTGAGCTGTCAGACCCATCGAAATACCCAAAACATTCTTGCATAGCTCCACTAGCTCTTGAAGGCGGAACTCCCGAACTTTGAGAGCACTACCCGCCACCAGTACCTGGCACATCAACGACTGCTTTGTCCACCCCGACTTGAGGTGGACTCTCAAAACACGAGGCCAGTCGAGGGCACGGCAGGCCGGCCTAGAAATTCGAGAGTTTGCAGGCTGTAGACTTCGGAAGTGTCAAGAGTACTTTTTTTTTTCTTTTTTTTTTTTAATTTGAGAATGGGGTCTGATAACTCTCGAAAGGGATTTTCAAGACCCACTTTCCAGAGTAAGTGGACTGAGGCCGGAGCCGCCGGACTCTAGAAAATTCCAGAGTCGCGAGTAGCAGAGTGAGATCCATAATATCATTGGTTAGAGGGGACTCTGCAGACTGTAGAGGGTGGAGCCTCCGGCTGGTGAGCTGGCGAAACTCCGACGAAACAGTCTGTCACAGCCCCTCGGTTGTCGTCCTCTTCTTCCTCTCTGCATATGGTTCACCACATGAATGCTGAGTTGTCCATGACACTCAGACGAAACAGTCTGTCACAGCCCCTCGTCTGCTGTCCTCTTCTCCCTCTCTGCAATGCAATTGGGAAAAGTTACAGATCTCCCCCCGCCACCCGCCCCCACGACAAAACGTTTGTACTCGTTTGCCCCCAGACCGTGGCAAAAGGTCCGATAGGCCCCCGAAAGCAGGTGGCAAAAGTTAAGGACCCCCCTGCGCCTCGAGCCTTTCACGGCCTCCGGGGGCAAACGAGTGCAAACATTCTGTCGAGTGGGGGATCTATGACTTTTCCCATGCAATTTGTCCATTATAAAGCCTTTCGCGGCCCCCGACACTTCCAGGGGGCAACCTTTCGCGGCCTCCGACACTTCCAGGGGGCAAACGAGTACAAACGTTTTGTCGCGCGGGGGATCTATAACTTTTCACATGCAATTTGTCCGTTACAAAGCCTTTCGGGGCCTCCGACAATTTCGGGGAGCAAATGAGTACAAGCGTTTTGTTGCGCGGGGGATTTATAACTTTTCCCATGCAATTTGTCCATTACATTACGTCGTGGTAAGGGGAGTAAACTGGTCTACTGAAGAAAAAAGAGATTCTTTGTTTTTTTCTTCAGGCGTTGTCCCTCTGTCGAGTATGCTCATGACGTTTTGTTGCCAGTCTTCACTTTTTTGTTCCCCAAAGTATCCCTCCTCTCTGCAAGGAACCAATCAATGGGAAGTCTCCCGACCAGCGAAAGACTCGTAGGAGAACATGCATATGTGAGCAGAGTTGAAAGCACAGTTACAAAGCTGAGAGCGCAGCGAATGAGAACAGACTGAACACTGAAGTCTCTTGGCAAAGAAAGCTCCACTTCTTGCCGCGCCTGCAATAATAAAATACGACAACGATGTAGTAGTTCTACTATGATGTGTCCCCCTATACCACTGTCCCACTGTCCCACTGTCCCACTCTCCCATTCTCTCTACACACATCCTACTACCGTCTCTCTTGCACTGTCTCTGTCCACAGTCTTTTCACCAGATGATGCTGAATCGTCTGACCTACTTGAGTGCTCCTGGGCCTCTGCCAGGTAAGTGATGCCACTCCTCACTGCTGCCCCTTCTCCCCGCTCCCGCTGACCCCGCGCCACCCTATTGCCTCCAGCACATGCCAGCTATGGCAGCCACTGGCTGAGCAGCTACCCGTGGTTGCTCTCTCTCTTCCCGGTGCTGCCTGACCGCTATGCCGTTGCCAGAGCCAGTGCCTGGATGTGCCTTTCCCTAGTGACCTCCCTCCTTTCGTCTCTTCTGGAGGCTGCGGACTAGGTCCCGGCAGGCAGTCCCTTCCGCCTACTGCAGTGGATCTGAGTCCCAACCTCTGTAACTGACTGTGAGGCTGGGGTCCAGCCTCTGCCCATCTATCAGGCGTAGCCTTCTCTTTGGGCCGGCCCACTCTTTCCACAGCCGCCCCCTTGTTGTTCACGCCAAGGCCTGCAGCCGCACATCTTGTTGGCTTAATCCAACCATCCATCCATCATATGGTTGTACGACTTCCTAAGGCCGACGACTCTGTCTTGAACCACCAGTTTCACGATCGAACCCCCTGGATCTGCCCAGCCTGAAATGGCTCTCTTACCAGGCCATACTGACTTGGATTAAAATATGCATTCGGTTTGGCGCGAATTCTTGTTCATGGGCCTAACCTTTTTTTTTTTTGTCCATTTTTTAAATCCTCCCCCACCCCCCTCCTCCCCACCCTGGAAGTGACCTAAGGAACATACCTGATGCTTTCGGAATTTCTTGTCACTGGAAATTAGAATTAAAAGTCGCCAAAGTCAAGTCACTTGGAATTTGGCACAAGCCCCCCCCGTACCCCCCCTCTCGGGTTTGGCAGGCCGTAAGAGGTATCCTCTTACCGCGCACACACCCGTGAGAGGCCAACTTAGCTTCGGCCGAACTGCTGGTTTAAATCTATCTGTAGCAGGGTATGGTTTTGCTAAGGGGTCTGTTCATCTAGGAAACTAACTACTGGTAGCGATTCTCCCAAGGTAGGGGGATTCATCCACCTAAATCCGTGTACCCTGTTCCTCCTCGTCTTCTTTTTCCTTCTCCTCCTCCCCCTCCTTCCTCCTCCTTATCATCCTCTTCTTCTTCTTCTTCCTCCTCCTCTTCTTCTTCCTCCTCCTCCTCCTCTTTCTACGATGTGCTCCTCGTTGGAGGATAAGACGGACTCAGACTACACTCTTTGAGTGTTTGCCTATTCTTTTGCAATTTTGTTTTTTCATGTTTTGGGATGACGGACACTTATCTCTGGCCCTCCTTTGTGGGGTGCAGGCCGCGCTGTCTCTGTCGCAAAAAACGAGACCTCACTTGTTCGGTGGGTGGGTGCTTTAAGAAATAATCCAGAACTTGCAATGGGCGTTTAGTAATCCAAATGTGGCCTCAAAAAAATAAAGAAAAGGAAAAAAAGAGGAAAAAAAGAGGAAAAAAAAAGTGGCCTATCCCCCCTCCCCCGCCCCGCCCGGTTATTTGCTGTCAAGAAAGCAAGGCCATTATCAAAACGAGCCCTCCCATGTTTTCTCGGGATTTCAAATTAGGCCTTCCCTTAATTATGCAATCTTCGCCTGCTGCATAGATAGTTCGTTTTGTACAAGTTCTTTTTTCCTTTTTCCTTTTTTTTTTTGTCACGGGCAACGACCTTGATATGTTATCACCGACGAATCAACCGGCCCTCAGGTAATTCATAATTATTTGGTTCTGTTCATCCAGTATTCCAATTCACGGCTGTATCTCAACAGTTCAGGGGTGGACCGACCGAGCTAGGCCCATCGGTACCAGTTTGTATATAGTACTATATAGTATATAGTATATACCCATTTTCCCATTTTCCCATTTTCCCATTTTCCCATTTTCTTGTTTTTCCATTTTCCCATTTTCCCAGTCTCTCTGTGGAGGGCCTTGGATTTTTCACAGGCCACCCTGTCTTGGAAACTCACCAGTTGATTACTTGCAGGGTAATCTTCTGAGGGCATACTCACACTAGTAGCATTCTGTTACTCGTTCTTCTGGACGGAATTGCAGCCAGATGCATACAGCTCCAGCCGTAAATGCAGATGCATTTAAGATAGTGCTAGTGTGAGTACGTCCTGAGAGACATTCTTCCCTGCCACCTCCTCGTTTACGCTAGAGAAGTACTATCCCTGTCAGAATCTTGCCTTTGGCAAAGATAATCCGGCAAAGAAGAGAAATGAAAAAGGAGAGCAAAAGGGGCTCCTCCTCTGCTGTCCTCTTTTTTTTTGCTGGGTCCAACTCTGGAGGTCTGATTGCGTATCTGTGTACATTCTGTAGAATGATTGCTCTGGTGTTTTTTTTTTCGGTTTCCCCCCCCCCCCCTCCCTTTTTCCCTTTTCTTTTGTTGTTGTGATGTGAAAACCTCGCAGGTGGGTTATGTGACTTTCCTGCTTCTGGAAAACGGCAGCAAGCTATTGAAAAAAAAAGAAAAAAAGAAAAATAGAAAAAAAGAAAAAGAAAAAAAAGAAAAAGAAAAAAAGAAAAAGAAAAACATCGGCAAGCAGAAGGCTTCCCATCAGGGAAGCCGTTGGAGAAGCGAAACAAAAAAAGACAAGAGGGGGGAGCGGGGGGGAGTGGGGGGGAGAGGAAGAGGGCATTGAAAGATGCATCACAACTGGTCGACGACTTTAGTTCTATGTATTATTATATTGACGGTTTCATCGCTGCCATGCTTGGCGTCTCAGGTTAATGTGTTGGACGGGTTGGAATTGCACGAGGGCATCTTCAGTGCTGCAGAGCAGAAGAGGCTGATTGACTTTGTGCACGAGCTACAAGAGAAGGGAAGGCGAGGAGAGATGCGGGCCAGGACTTATTCGGAGCCACGGAAATGGATGCGCGGCAAGGGCCGAGTGACCATTCAGTTTGGATGCTGCTATAATTACGCCGTCGACAAAAACGGCAATCCTCCGGGAATCGTGAGAGGTATTCAGTTTTTCAGACTTTTTCTTTTTGCCCAACATTTTTATTTTTATTGTCTGGCAGAAGGAAATGGCGAAGGACCACTTTTTGCCCTCTGTGATGATGTTGTATATCTTCCATCTAGTCTAGCGCCTTCCCCTTAACACAACGCGCCCTCATTTTGCCTGTATCGGGACGGAAAAGTAATCTGAATGCGTTCATTATGAGGGTGAGTTATGTTCGGGGGAAGACGGTAGTCTACCATCTTCACCCCCAAATAGAACGCAGCCCCTCGTTTGTTGTCCTCTTCTCTCCCTCCCTCTCTCTGCCTATGGTTTACCGGGCAGCTCTGTTTGACGATAAAACCGTAGGCAGAGAGGGAGAAGAGGACAACAAACGAGGGGCTGTGACAAGTCGGATTTTCACCGACTATATGAAACTCCGGTGAAACAGTTTGTCACAGCCCCTCGTTTGTTGTCCTCTTCTCCCTCTCTGCCTACGGTTTACCGGGCAGTTCTATTTGACGATATAGCACTGCTTTGCAAGGCGTGATCTCTACTCTTCGTGAGAAAGACACTGAGCTCTATCAACAGGAAGGTGTTCGACGGTGCCAGAGTGCCGATGAGGTGGCGATTGACCTGAAAAACAATGTGTCCTCTCTACGTGGCCTCTCTCCTCGCACGGTTGATTTCACCACAATGTACACCAACCTTCCTCATGACCGCATTTTGAATAATGTGGCAAAGGCTGTTGATGAAGCTCATGCTTATGCTCTTCAGCATACCCGCATGCATTCGCGCTGCAGAGCCTTGAACATGTTCATTC